GACTGAATGAAGTTCTTATGTTATGTGAAGGAAAGATGGGGAGAGCCATGTGTACAGATTGTGTGGACAAGGAAGTTCCCCTTGTCTTCTCTTTGACTCTGGAGAATAATGTCGCTGGCCAAATTTTTCCAGCTCAGTTTCTAATATCTTCCTCCAGTGCTAAAGCATCTAGATTATCTGAATGTATGGCCATTCAGACGTTGGCCATACATTGTTTGATAATAAGCACTTCAAATGCTTGCATGGGTTCTTAATCATCCAGAATTAAATCCAATGCCTAATTACCACATCCTGCTTGCAGGACGTGTAAATATACTGTGTATCCATATCTGTAAAAAATAAGTCAAAGCAACTGGACTTGCTGTATTTTTCTTGAAGATGTTTCACTGGTCATCCAACCAGCTTTCTCAATTCAGAATGACTTGTACAAAAATCCTCTGGGTATAAATATGGTGATTGTTGCTCCAATCCATATAATCTGTAAGTCACAACCAGGTGTTGATACATTTACATAATTGGAGCTAGGTGTTAATAACCTGCCCAGAGAGGGGTGTTAAAACAGCATTGTATGTGGCAGACAATAGATGTCTCACTCCCCCCCCCCCCCCCCCACCTCTATTCAGGCTTGGCTTCTCCATTTTTACATAAATGGCCTCTTTCACACCTCTTTTGAACCAGTCCTCCTCCTTGTCTTGGATGCGTACTAGACTGTCTTCAGAGGAGTGACCTTTTTCATTTAGATGTAGGTACACTGCCGAATCCTGACCAGATGTTTGGCTCTTCTATGCTGTGCCATACGCTGATGTAGCTGCTGTTTCGTTTCACCGACATACAATCCTGAGCACTCCTCACTGCACTGGACTGCATATACAATGTTGTTCATCTTGTGTTTTGGCGTTGGGTCTTTTAGGTGAACCAGTTGTTCCCTCAGTGAATTGCTGGGTTTAAAGCAGACAGGGATGTGATGTATTTTAAAAACCCTTCCAAGTTTCTCAGACACCCCAGCTACATATGGGATGACCAAATTCTTCAGTTTGTCATGCTTTTCACCCTCACTGGTTCTCTTGCCATTCTTTCCTCTTTATAGAAGTCCCCCCCCCCCCCCCCCCACCTCTATTCAGGCTTGGCTTCTCCATTTTTACATAAATGGCCTCTTTCACACCTCTTTTGAACCAGTCCTCCTCCTTGTCTTGGATGCGTACTAGACTGTCTTCAGAGGAGTGACCTTTTTCATTTAGATGTAGGTACACTGCCGAATCCTGACCAGATGTTTGGCTCTTCTATGCTGTGCCATACGCTGATGTAGCTGCTGTTTCGTTTCACCGACATACAATCCTGAGCACTCCTCACTGCACTGGACTGCATATACAATGTTGTTCATCTTGTGTTTTGGCGTTGGGTCTTTTAGGTGAACCAGTTGTTCCCTCAGTGAATTGCTGGGTTTAAAGCAGACAGGGATGTGATGTATTTTAAAAACCCTTCCAAGTTTCTCAGACACCCCAGCTACATATGGGATGACCAAATTCTTCAGTTTGTCATGCTTTTCACCCTCACTGGTTCTCTTGCCATTCTTTCCTCTTCCCCTGTGTATCCATGTTTATGCGTACATTAAACAAACCCTATTCTCATTTTAAAGTGAACCTGTCAAGTACAAGGGCTGCCATTGCTGGTCTCCTTCTAAAAATTCTAGATGACTATGTATGTCAGAATTCCTGAACTCTATATTTGTAAAAATACTAAACAGCTCGTATAGTTGAGAACTGAGCCCCATCCTATCATACCTCCAATATCTCTGTATTGGCTCATCATGTTTGAAGAACTATTTAAATGAGCAAGAGGCAGCAAAACCAAGCACTCCACCACAGAAAATAATCTAGATGTAAAAAAAAAAAAAAAAAAAAACCCAGGGTATAGAATGATTAAGCTAATGCTATGGTGTAAACAAGCCCTAAGGGTGCAGGGTACTTTTAGAATGTATCTTAGTGTACCAGACTAGTACAAGAGATATGCAAAAATAATTTGAACAGCAATTGATTATTTTCTGTTTATAAAATCAGCAGTTGTTACACTTAACTATTGAGAGTTACCGTAGCTCATCACATGGCAAGAATGACCCGCAAAGCAAAATATTTCTAAAAAAAAAAAAAAAAAAAACATACAGGGCTTCTGTGAATAATGTGATAAGGCATGTGAGCACATATACAGGCACCTTTAGGTGCTTAATTTCCCTCTGCTGTCCATTGAAAATGACCAGAGGGACCGTTAGGGCTGATGGTTACACAATATATTTGCGGTTGTAACTGTTCCAAATATTCTCTGTGTAACCTATACATTGGAACTAAAATATTTAAACATTTACACTGATTACTTACTTTTTGGTTTCATGGTTTAATGCTACCCTCACTGCCACTGCAATGTCATGAGACTTTGGACACACAAAGATCTATGTGGAACATTGGCCTCATAAGTTACATGCAACTGTCAGCAACAGGTTCTTTTAGTGGTTCACAGAATGTCACAATAGCATGGCGTAAGAGCTGGCTTGTTATTTAGACCAGAATATAATGCAGGTAATGATTTTACACATAGGCACTGCAGAATATAATATTAGCATGTCATTTTACAAGCAAGGTCAACTGCAACCCTTTGATTCCCATATCAGTTTCCTACAACTGTGGAATCAGAGCACACAGCTAAATCATTTTATCATCTTTAATAAATTACTTTAGTAAAATGTCAACATAACCAATTCAGAACAGCTTGACAGTCTGCATGGGATGCTGGATTATAAAACCAATTACAACAGCTTGAATGGAAAATACCTTAAAGAGTAACTTTATCCATATCTTCAAAATAACCACAGGAATGTTTAGTAATGACAATCTAACAAACAGATAGTTCTAGATCATTTCCGGCTTCTTATTATTTGCATACCTTATTTTTCTTTTACTCCCCATTCTTCTGACAGTGGCCATTTTAACTAAGGGCAGGTTACAAGATCTCCTTTTACTTTCTGGAACTCAGGCACATGTGACAAGAAAATGTGAGCATGCACATAATCTCAGGGGAGGAAAATGCCTTTCCCTGAGATCTCAAGAAATGACAGATTAGATTTCCCAGCAATGCTCTGCTGATGTGATCTTCCCAGGATGCAATGCTTGGGCACGATTACATAATTTGTGCCAAAGTGGACCAGGAGATGTAAAAAAAAGAAATTGTAAGTAAAGGAAAAATATGTTTGTTTAGCTAATTAATGTAAGATGATTTCATATCAGCATGCAGAGCTGTATGCTTATGTAAGAAGGATGGCCATTGGCCACTGAGGGACGCTGTAAAGCTTTCTCGCACAGGGCGTCTAAAGGCCTTAGGCTGGCCCTGGCTAGCCTGTATTTGTGGGAGGAGCCTGGGCTGTAAATACGGCCGCAGTTCTGCTTCTTCCCAGAGTGGGATCATTATCTGGTATCCCACCCACCCAAAACCCCTTTTTACAAACACTTCTTGAGTATGCCCCCTTTTAGGCATATTGACCAGCGCAACCAAGGCACACCTCAGGCCGCGGTCCGTAGGAGTTTTACACATGGTCGTGTCCCAGGCTCTGACCACAAGTGATTTTTAGTCAAAGGGGCTAAAGGTCCACTTTAACGATTGTCTAGACATTGATTTTTCTACTTCTAAGTTCATATGGCTAGCTTGAGTTACAGATTACATACTGGAACACACTAAAATGAAAAAGTATCTGAAGACTGTCTAATGAGGTTCATGTTAATGGGCATTCTAGTCAAATGCTTAATTTTCTATTTAAGCCCAAGCAGCTGCGTTTTAATGGGAAACGCAGTGTTTGACTAGGAAAGGCTGTGTTTGACCTGCTTTGGCTGCAGTTCAACCACAGCTTAATTTTACATGCTCCTTAATAAGACATGCTGCGTCCAAAGACGTGCAATGCAAAGCAGTTCAAACACAGCCTCTATACTGCCGTGTGTACTGCTCAGTTAAAGTCAACAGGATTTTGCTAAAGTGCATCTGTGGTGCGTTCCAGATGAATGTCAAATACAAGAAAACAATGCACATCAACAGGAGCCCTAATAATGATCTTACAGAGCTCTTTAGCTAAACATATAAACAATGAATTGCCATTGTGAGAAGAACTATATAGGCCTCACACTGCACTAGAGCATTTTATTTTTTTGCCCACAATGATATGAAATCCAAAATTATCTTGATCATTATAAAATCAAAGGCTATTCCCAGTGGTAATATTGGACTATACACTAATGTAATGTAGATCAAATTTCCCATGGCAACCCTTAACAATTTATAGGCTACATATAACCTTTCATAAGTAACATCATATGACAGTTACAGTGCATGCATGGAGACATTTTGCTGATTCAACTTTTTTAGCAGGTTCCTCTAAAGTACTACATTCTAACTGTGAAATTCTCTAAAGATTACAGCAACCTTCTCCACTATCTGACTTTTTTGTAGTGGTGTCCCAGGGCTGATTCCGGAACTGTGTAAAGCAGAGACAGACAGAGATTTATTGTAAAATGGACCAATAGCTAAAACACGTCAGAATAAACTAACCCAAGCAGCAAGAAAATACTGTCCGTCATTTATGGGTAAATCATGGTCACTTCTGAATGCAGTCAATTTCTCTAGGCTTATTTAAAGGAACAGGGTTGAGATTGTCGACCAATCAGATGCAGTCACTGTTTGGTTATTCAGACAGCCATGGGTGCCGACAGCTGTCTGAAAACAATAGCTGGCAGTGCAGATTCCTCCATCCATAATGGAGTGTTTTACAACATCAAAGCTTTGGAAAAGGCACTTGTAAGTGCTTCGAAACAGAAATAAGGTGGTAACACATGGGTGATGAATTAAGATGCATTCATCTCACTGGGAGAGTGCCAGTATGCAAGAGAAGCAAGAATGATAGGATTTGAAGTTTTCAGACAGATTATAAATATCTGAGTAGCTTTATACAGAGGCACGAGGCAGGGGTGCTTCCTCCTGCATCTCTTTTGAGACAAGATCCGGGGGTGGTTGAATTCAGGAGAGGGTCCAAGGAACATAAAGTGGCATTATACGCTGATGACACATTATTTCTTGCTAACAATAGGTCCAGTCTTATTAAAGCGGTTCCGTACCTTTTCTTGGTTGACCATCAACTGGGAAAAGTCCATGCTTCTTCTCTTGGATTATCTCCCAGAATGTTTAGAAAGTGTCCTCTCTTGTTTGAATGTTGTACAGCTGATTAACTACCTCGGTATGCACATCTCCTCTGCCATTGCAGATTTTACTTCATCAATCTGGTTCCCTTACTACAATAGTTAATGGCCAATTGCAATGTGGGCTGCAAGCTTCCCCTTTCTGTCAGGGGCAGGCGTAATCTCATTATCTGACTTTCCCACTTATTGTATCCATTTCGCTATTCTCCTATATGGATTCCCATTAAAGGTCAACAGTTTATTTTGGGACCTCATTTGGAGAAAGAAAAAGCCCAGAGTATGCTTAGAGATTCTCCAATGCCCAAAAGATTTTGGGGTGTGTCTACCCCTAATCCCCTGTTGTATTTCGTAGCCTCTCAGATGCAGCACTTTAGTGTGGGAATTGGAGCATACAAAGGCCCTCTTATCAGACTCTTTGAAATCTACGCAGTATGAAACTCGATGCTATCCCTTGTTTCAGGGGCCTATGTTAAGATATATTCTTGCCACCCCACAATGCAATTGATGGGCAAGGTGTGGGACGCAACTAAGCAAATGTTGCATATCGAGGGTATTACAAGATTCCCCCACCCCCGTGGGTCAACTACCTTGTGACTAAGATTCTTAAACTCCAGGGTTTTCACGCATGGCAAAGGCTCTGACATCCTTAGTGTTAAGCAGCTATATGCTAACAATCAGTTTAAATCCTTTCAACAGCTATGATCCAACTTCTTCCTAGATAATATGACCAGTACTTACAGATTCGCCTGCATACAGATTCGCCATGCCATCCAGGCATAGTTTGGGTCCCTTAGCGTGATGTTTGCTAGTACAAACATTCTGGAAAATATAGTCCAATCAAGCACAACACAGGGCTTAATATCCTTCCTCCACGTGTACCATTTCCATAAATCCTTAAGTCCCTTATTTCTCCCTTGTAGTCTGTCAGGGGATGTATGATAAGAATTTATTCAAGATCTTCCCAGGCCTCCTTATCTGCCCCCCAACAGATTGACCTGATTCCTTACGTTACAGTATATTAAACTCCTGCATATTTGTATGGAACAGGGATGAGAGAGATGCCCTGTTGTGCCCTGCTCTGATCGAAGAGACCTTCTGCATTTGTCGTGGCGCTGCTTCAAATTGGTGAGATACTGTGGAGCGGTTATTGCCAAGATCAGTTGTGTTTTTGGAGTAGAACTAAGCAATATACCACTTGTATTTGTGTATTCTGGGTTATTTTTAATCCTTGGATCTGAACTCACATATGACCCTGGCATTTTCTGTTTTCTTCCCATATAATGATTGTATTGAGATGAGTTTCCCATGTCCTTCAGTTAGTGATTGGATAGCTGGACAAAATAAGCTTGAATATTTTGAGAAAATTATGTATGAGAAATGTGGGACTGACAAACACACACTGATATTCTCCAGATGCCTTGAGATGTCATCTAGTGGTGTGGGAGATTTTATTACTCTTTGCTCCAGCTCTTTAAGGGCAAAGGTTTGTAACAAATGAGTGGTGAGATATAGACCATGTACTATGTGAAATAACGCTTATTTGCTCCTCCCTCCCTGTTTCTGTATGGATTTATTATGTATTGTTTGCTTGTTTACTCTTGTATTATTGAGAAACTTATGACCTCTATATGTAGTTGTCTGTAAACAAGTTTTTTTTCTCTTTTTTTGTCATTGTTTAACCATTTCCCTGTTGCTGCTGTATTCCATACAGCAGTGGCAGCAGGGCCCTGTAAGCAGACTCCCAGTTGCTATAGCAGCCAGATGTTTGCTTACAAGTGTAAAACTAATGTAAATAATTTTTTACTGAAAATCTGGGTTTGAAAAACAGCTGCACTAATACTGTGTGACATTGCCACCATTTTATTCTATAGGGTCTCTTCAGAACATACTTAATTCTGGGGGGTTTGAAATAATCTTCAGGCCTAAAATGTGCATTGACCTAACCCTATTGCAGCCTAGTTGACTGACAGCTATTGCAGCAAATAGCAGAACAGAACATAGAAAATATCAACAAAAATTATTAGTTAAGCACAAAAGATAAAGCAGAACCAGAGAGATAAATGGAAGAGCAGAGCCAACTGTAACTTACACAGGGCTGACGACTCTCTCTGCCTCATCACTTAATGGCTGGGCCTATCACATTAGAGAAAGAGCAGAAAGTCTGGCCACACACTGATTGTTGGCGGGGCTGGTTAGGGAAAAAAAAGCTTGATTTTCCCCAAGCTTGCTAAACAGCGTGGATGGGGGAAGGATGGAGCATTGACTATTGTATTCTGACAGCAGTGGGTGGCTGTTGTCAGAATACCCGAATAGTGACTGAAGCTGATTGTCTGAGAATTTTCGGACCAGATCCTTTGGCAAAAGTCGATTGAAAAATCAACTTTTGTCAAATGGAGGGGTGCTGAAGGGGGGCACATGCTGGTCAAATTTCAACCAGTGTATGGCTTAAAAAATATGCCTCTTAAACCTAGAATCAGAGGCTAAATTCAGTGGTAGAGGAGGCACATGCTGGGAGGGGGCATTAAAGCAAAGCTTTGCCCTTCATATAGAAATTACAGGTTTGCTTTAAAGTATATTTATAGTCAAAACATTATTTTTGTTTTGGGTAGAGCAGGGAAGAGTTATAACCCCTGTCAATTTTTTATTGACGCTTGTGTCCCCACTAGGTAAATCTGCCTTCTCTGTTTGTCCTGGTGACTACTGGCTCCAAGACAGAAAGTGATAGGAGATTACAAATGTATAGTTTTTTCTGGATCAAAGAAGTGAGGTTAAATCCTTCAATTAGGACAGTGGTAGTGGTGACAACTGTCTAAGGGGGGACTTCCTGCCACTCTTCTGTCTCTAGAAAAGAAAGTAAAGAAAAATCTCATCAATGGGCTACAAACCGCAAAAAAAAAATTGGAAGGTGTTTTAACCAGGTGTAGATGTAGCTAAATTTCAGCCGCCCAAGCAAAATGCCGAAAGTACATTCCTAGTTTCTCTCCTCCCTTCTGGGCCCTGCTCTGTGTCCCTTCTGACACAGTGCAGTGTCCAGTGGGGAGGAGATTAACGCTCAGGCAGCCAAGCGGTGCAGGGCGTGGAGGAGAGCGCTGTGAGCCGAGATGTCACTGGAGGCTGAGCTCTCCTGCACTGCCCTGCTCAGCCTCCTGTGACAGATAAGGATGGGGTGGTATGTAGGCAGAGACAGCTGTCACAGGAGGCTGGGCCAGCGGGCGGGGGAGGAGTCAGCTGTCAAAAAAGAACGAGCTCTCTCCCCCGCACCACCGGCTCAGTCTCCTGTGACAGCAAGTCAGGATGGAGAGCGTGTAAAAGCAGTCAGCGATCAGCTCACTGCTTGTAAATAATTGAGGAAATAGTATATTTACGGTGTTCTCAATTATGAATGAACAGGAAGTGCTCTACATCACCTCCTGTTCATTCATGATTGTGGATATAGTAAACATAATATCTCCACAAGTTATAAATGGACAGGATTTAATTTTGGGTTTCAAAATTTCATTTTGGTGCACCTCTAGTTTTAATTATATATTTAGAGACGAGGACATCATATATTTAGATTAGCACTAGTATCTAGCATTTAGTTTTAGACATTAAAAATATTAAATACATCTAGTTGTTTTAAAAAAAAGTAGATTCTTACCCTGGCTCTATCGAGCTGTTGCTGAGCCTGCCTCTCCACCTCGCGGCGGGCAGCCTCACGATCCTCCTCCAGTGACACGTCGGAGTCTAACGATGGACGACTTGTGTAGGAATCAGCAGAACCCTGGAAAAGAAGAAACCAGGTCACCTATAAGCTGCAGACTATTTCTTATGTTGTCATGAATTCTGACACTACGCACTGAACGTGAAGCAGCGCGGAGCAGTGGTGCGCAGACCTTTGCGTGCAGTGTGTCATGTCATTTTCACTCGAGCACGTCAGCTTGCAAGAGCTCGCATAGCTGAGCGTGCCGAGATGAAAAATGTCATCTTCAGCCAATCGGCTCACGCCTTTACCCGCACGTCACGATGCGAAGTCGATTCGGTTGTTACGCGCGAGCTGATTAACTAAAGATGCAGTCTTTCATCTGGCCGCGCTCAGCTCACACACTGCATTATTATTATTATTATACAGGATTTATATAGTGCCAACAGTTTGCGCAGCGCTTTACAATATAAGAAAGACATTACAATCACAATTCAATTCAAGACAAGATAGTAAGGAGGGCCCTGCTCGTTAGGGCTTACAAGCTAAAAGATGTGAGCGTCCGTGTCTCACAGTTTTGCTCTGCTCCGCACAGCTTCGCATGCAGTGTGTCACGGGCTAGATCAGAACAAATAAGCTATATGGTACATGCAGTATTACAGGTGAAACTCGAATAATTAGAATATTGTGCAAAAGTAATTGCAGTAAGTGCTGCAAAAGGGGCCCAAACCAAATACTGAGTACATATGCATGCTTGTACTTTTCAGAGGTCCGATATTGTTCTATGTACAATCCTTGTTTTATTGATTGCATGTAATAATCTACTTTTTTGAGGTTGTGGATTTGGGGTTCTTGGGGTTTTCATGAGCTGTACGCCATAATCATCACAATTATGACAAATCACTGCTTGAATTATCTTGCTTTGCATGTAATGAGTCTATCTCATATATTAGTTTCACCTTTTAAGTTGCATTAGTGAAATAAATACACTTTGCACGATATTCTAATTATTCGAGTTTCACCTGTATATACTGAACTTTTATTTCCATATATTTTTACCCATTGCACAGAACTAACTATTGTCCATTCTATATTAAGATTCACCTGATCTGGAATTAAGATGTTATTTGCAGGTGATTTTTGTAGCTCTCTAAGAAAGTCATGGAAGAAAGAGTTGTCGCAAGAGCTGCTTAAAAAGGAGCACTGCTTACAAATATTAGGTCAAATATGGCTACCTTTTGTATTACGTAATACATTATATACAGACATCTGAAGCTACCCATTATTTATTTATTTATTATTTATTACAGGTATTTATATAGCGCCAACAATTTACGCAGCGCTTTTACATAGCGTACATTCACATCAGTCCCTGCCCTCATGAAGCTTACAATCTAAGGTTGTATCCCATGCATACATACAGGGCCGATTTAGAAAGGAGCCAATTTACCTTCCAGCATGTGTTGAGATGACATTCATACAATATGCACACAATTTGCATGACCACACAAGGAAGGAACAGTTGTAGTGACACTTTTAAAGAAGTTAATTCTTATAATTGCATTCAAGTACCTTAAAGGAGAACTATGAGGCGAGTGAAAATCACTTAGCCTCATAGTTCTAGCCGACCTGTGACAATTAAACTGTCACAGGTCGGCTCAATAGATCGGGAAGTAAGCAAACACATACCATCGCTCGCTCACTTCTTGATCCTGATTCCTGCAGGGAGCCGTGACTGTCACTTACGGCTCCCTCCATGGATTCCCCCCCTCCCCGCTCCGATCCTCCAGCGCTGACTGGCGGAACGGACGGGGGAGGGGGCGGGTACAGCTGGCCCTGCCTCTAGATGGGCAGAGCCAGCTGTTACTCACGCAGCTGGGGGGATCTCGACATTAATGTCGGGATCCGTCCCGGCTGCGGCGTCTCAGTATACCTATACTGAGCTTTGGGTGACGGTAGGACTCTAGTTTGTGTCCTCCTGTTACCCTTAGGAGAACTATGGGGAAAAGCCCTAACCCCATAGTTCTCCTTTAACTATTAACACAAATGTAGCTTATTTGTGAATTCACCCGGCTGTAGATCCTCAAATCATCTCTGAATTGGTGCTGACACTGTCCTTCCTTCTGGAGGGTGGTTACTTTCGTTCTCTACGGTCCCTGTGTGTGTTGTAAAGTAGCCAACACTCCAATCTCGCTCCCGTGATGGACTACAATCTCAATACAAATTAGTACACCAAACATGAGTGTAGCACATCACTGGAGCGTGCGTGCAACGTTGGCTACTTTGCAACACACACAGGGACCATGGGAAAACAAAAGTAGCCACCCTCAAGAAGGAAGGACAGTGTCAGCACCAATCCAGAGATGATTTGAGGATCTACAGCTGAGTGATGCACAATTAGATACATTTTTTTAATAAATAGTTCAGGTACTTTATGCGCATTTTTAAGATTTAACTCCTGAGTTTAGTGTCAACTGCCCAGATCTCTCTAGCTCTGCCCTGCTATAAGCCTGCACCTGCAGCATCTGCCATTACATTTCTCCTTCTTCCCTGTACCAACAAATAGGATGTATCACCAAATCAAACTGTCAGGCTTATGTACCTGGTAGCCAATTGCAGTGCATCCACATGTGAGCACCCACAGATGTCTAGGGGTACAAGAAGGTCAGTACAGAATAGGTAATGAATCATGGGTATTCTAGCAGAAGGATTTGAGTGGTCCTGTCATGTTATGTTTCGTTGCACTAAAAAAATATTCTTCGGATATTTGCTCAAAACAAATGTTGTAATACACCAGATATTTTCCCTGTATTAAGGACAAATACTATCACAACAACTGTTTGTTTTCATTAGCTGAGTATATGGTCTTCAGCAAGACATTTGGTTTGCTGATGATGACTAAATGTTAGTTTCTACATTTTATATTTTTAATGACACCTTTGCCATTACAGGTATTATCTGTTGCCTTGTTACTGCAGTTTATTAGAAGCCAAGCCTTACACTGTCATTTAGCACAAAACAAAAGGTCCATTGTAGCATATCAGGTCAGTGAGATGACAGAGGGAGGCATTTTACAGATTAGCAGACAACAGATCCGATGGAAGATACAGGGCACGTATCGGTGCTAAGTGTTAGTGTATTGATTACTGCCATATGTAATAAGCACACTCCTGGGTAAACAATGGCAATCATTAAACTTTTTTTTATAGAATGCTAAACTCAGGTTTAATTTTAATTGAAGATGTTGTTTTAAAAATGAATTGAAATCAATTCTTAACACTCGTATGATTCTTTTTATTAGGATGTCTTTTTATTATAATATATGTAAGCAAAACCCTGGCAGTGGCTGTTGGCCATATTTATTGTACACAAAAATGACTGATTTGTCAAGCAAGTCGCTACTGCTAGAGCTCACCCCAACATCTCGATTCCCCATTCTTCAATTGGGAAACCAAGTCTTATTTTGGTATATTCTAAATGAAAATTGTGGCATTTGGCATAAACCGTTTTGTTTTACCAATATTGGCTTTGATTTGGCAGCATATTTTGATTCATATTTTTATTTCTTGTGATTTACTTTGAAAAGTAAGTGACAAAAATTATTAAAAATACAACTTTCCTATTTACTTTACATAATTAGCACATACCCAGATCTTAAATTAAAAATATAATTCTGAAAGTCTTCTAAGTTTCTTTTCTTTTGACACTTCTTGATGCAAAAACTATTTATATACATAAATTATTTCTTTTCAATAACCCACATAGTCACTGCTTAAGAGCTGGACCACTATAAGAACCAATCACCTGTGCAAATGCATCAGACTCTAGCACTAGCGAAGCTTCAGAAAAATGATATAGTAGGGTGGAGGATCTGAAACCTGTAAAAACATACCAGTTCGTTGGAAACAGATGCTAGTTATGATCATGTGACCTGAAGCAGAAATCCATAAACTGAACTCATTCAATTTGTTGGACCAGTACCCAAAAGCCTCCTCTCTAATGCACTCCCAGCCATGGTGACATGCTTGCCTCCTGTATATACAATGCAGGACTAATAGCTGTACGTGATTATGCCAAAGGACTGTCCACAGCCGGGAGTGTTTGGTAGAAGAGGAGAGCTCTTGAGTCTGCCAGGGCAGAAGTTAAGGTAGTAATATAACCTCTTCCTTAACCCTTGCAGAGCATGGTGGGCCCCACTGCAAGAGGTTTTTTTCTAGCAGACATGTTTGAAATCCAGCCTTCCCTGGCCATAGTCACCCATGGACAGGAAGTGTATTATTTACAGGATTAATAGGTGATAATGAAGGGAAAAGGCCTACAAAAAAAAATGAAACGAATGCAAGCACCTCATGAAGGACTAAGCTAAAATATATCTAATTTTTATTTTGGGGTTCAGACATGCTTTATCATCAGCAGTCTTTTTTCACTGTAGGCCCTGTACTGCCATGGCAGGAAACCTTACTCAAAACTAATGATAAGTGAACCGGCCTGGGTTCGGGTTCAGTTCACTTGGACCAGATTTCTAGTTGAGTTTGACATATGAAAAAGCAAACCGAACTCGGGGCCACCTGCGTCTTAGCAACTTATGATGCTGTGCATACCACACAACTTCACTGATTGCTAAAGCTATGCCCCCCCCCCCCCCTCCATAGCATCATAGATTGTTATGCCTTAACCCTAGCAATCAATTACGCTTTGCAGTTCAGCCCCATGTCAACCAATGAAGCTGTGTGGATGGTTCAGAGGGTGTGTGAACTGGCTAAATTGTCTGCCTGTTTGGCAAATTGCGAACGGCTTTGGTTTGGGTCAAACTCGGGTCAACCCAAATACACATCTGATCCCTACTCAGAATTCAGTAAGCTATAGGACCTCTTGTTTCCAACTGGCAAGTAGGTATGGACCCCCATACTACACCCTCACTTATGCAAGCTATGGGCTAGAACTTGGGAAGACTTATGTAAATATCAAAATGCCCTGACAGGTGGATCTCAGTCAGAAAGAGTGGGTGTTCTTGTCAGACTGCATTTGAATGCAGAGTATCCTAGATAACAATGAAAAGGTGACTTGCTACACTCCCTACC